CGCCATCCGGTTGTCAAAATTGCATCACTGTGTGGTATTTAGAAATGAACTTATCTAGAATGGTACTATATTCTAACACAGTGCCCAAGTTCTGAATTCATATTAATACTAGTTAGGAGGACTAATCCTGGTAAATGTTTAGAGAACATATTCTCAGTATACCATTTGAATGTCAACAGAGATGACTAAATGAGTGCCGGGAAACCATCAGAAGCCGATAATAAGCTTGGAAGAAAGGGAAGCTCAGTCGCGACGGTAGCGAAGCCAGTCAGTATAAAGACACCACAGCTATTGTACATTCAAATCCTAGAGAGTGAAGCCTTATTTTACACTGCAAATGAGAGAAATAAGAACAAACGCAACTTATATTTTCATTGGTTAATGACAAAACTTCTCCTGATGTATAAACTCATGAATTAGTATTCAATATTCTAACAAGGATACACTGAAATATGTAAGTAGTACAGTTATCACAGTGCAATCTTCTACAAAAAATAAATTGTGACGGATGCAACTAAAGATTGATTATAATCGGTTCTACGACTAATATTTCCACCTTTTAACACTAAAGTTTAGCTTTATGCACCATTTTTCGTTTTGTGTTAATCAGACAGTTTGTGGTTCATTGGACTGTTATATCCCTTCTGCGAATTGACATTTCGTTGATCGCTAGCCAATTTTAAGTTCAACTGTTGTATTCTCAGTTAATGGACGCCGGATAACTTCAAATTTGAATGTTTGTACTCTGTTTACCTGATGCATTCCCCCCTAACAGAATCATCATCTTGCAGGCCCTCAACGTAATGTTGTCAATAGTTGACACTATAGCTGAGGTTATTAAAGGTTGTTTATCCAAGGGTACTGAGAACTTTTTTGAGCCGCTGATTTAAACCTAGTACTTTATGGCGAAATTATCATTCGACATGTGTTAAGCATAAACTACCGCTTAAACCCACCTATATGTGTATCTATTCTTTCACATGCTGCTATGAAACCGACTACAGTGGACGTTGTAACAGTTTTTTCCGGAAACGCCTGGCTGAACACCACTCTATCAGGCCGATAGGAGGCTAGCATTAGACGGCGACGTTGTTGTTACGACAGTGAGTCCAGTCACTGCATAACTACGTCTTCTTCACCCATGTGTAGCCAAGTCTCTGGCTATACACAGACAAAAAATCCCTTTACTCAACATGGTCGTTGTATCGTTCTTATTGAAGGTTCATTTAGGGGTTAAATTGATTCCAAGTCATCTTATCTGATACTTCGTTATTGTTTTCATCACGACATCAACAGTACTTTTGCAAAAGCTCACTTGATTTAAGAATTCTTAATATCGATTCACTTGTTCGGTAATCTTTTAAGGTCTTCGTAATCCATTCTCTTCAACTATATTACCCTAAAAGTTACTTTAATAACCTGTTAAAATTATTTGTAATAGTAGTATTTCTCAATGACCGAATTACAGGGAATCAACCTACAACACAGAGAGGGATGAATTTAGGAATTTGTATTTGGTAGAATTATTTGTAATTCATATGATAAATATTTTGACAAACAGCAGTAAGTATTTCAACAATACAGTGATACAAATTGTCAATTACAACCTCCGCCACATGTTGACTGTCTCCTTTCGTGTTTGTAATGATGTCTCGGTTTATCCTCAAGTCTCTGCGGTCTTCTAAATGATTCTGTGATATTATTTTCAACACTATCCTCTCGACCTATTTCTGAATTATCCACAAATCAGGATTAGTAGCTAAATAATTAAGATTATAATCGGAACCACCTACTTCATTTGTTTTCATCTGTCCCAGGTGTTTATTGTGATCTCAATGATCTTCGATGTTTAATATCTTCACCATTCGATTTCCTCCTTTTTGTAGTATAGTTCCAACTGAAGGTCTATAGTCATTCCCTCCATAATAATGTACATCAAAAGTCGTGAACATCAAATGCGTTCTGATAATTCGAGATTTGAATACTTTAGCGGGACTTTCATGGGTCATTGTATGCTCCGTATTGCGATATTGAAGTAGGAATTTATCTACACATCTCTCTGGCTCGTCAAAATTCTTAGGACTCATTGATCCTCTGACACTTTAATGTTCGTACAAAGTTTTCTGCCAACCCTTTAGACTGAGGATAACGTAGTGCTGTGTACAGATGACGACAACCTATATGCTTGAACCTATCATCGAAGTTCTTCTCAGTGAAATGAGTACCATTGTCGGTAACTAAGATATCTGGAATTCCTTCTCGACTAAAAATCTTCCTCAACGCTCTGTGAGTGAATTTTGCGTTAGGACTATCTGTAATTATGACTTCTGGCCATCTAGAACAAGAATCCACAATAATTAAGGCATAGTATGATTTTAAGAATGGATCGCAATAATCCGCATGAATACGCTGCCAAACTTCACAAGACGTGGGCCATGGTTTCCACGACGATTTCCCATAGGACATTTTATGCAACTAGCTGGAACAGCTCTTCAATCTTTTGTTAATGTCAGCATCAATTTCCGGCCACCAGCATGTTAGGCGTGACAATGATTTCATCTTATCAGCTCCCAGATGAGCAGAATGAAGATCATCCAAAATCTCAGATCTTAATGTCGGAGGAATAATAATTCTGTCATTCAGACATAGAAATCCTTCAGGATGGACTGAAATCTCATCTCTTCGCTTATGAAAGTCAAGAAATCTTCGCCTATACTGAATATTCTAACCTCCTTTTGTTGCATTTATAGTGCATTCGTAATATTTCCGAGCATCGTTTATAATTCGAACTCTTTCCGCAGGTAACGGCTGGACTAACAAACAATCAGTATCATTAGCAGAATTTTCAAATAACGAATAGCGAGATAAGAAGTCTGTGTGAGGTATGTACTTAGAAGATCTGTGTTCAACAGTGTAATCACATGCACTTAGTTCCATACTCCATCTTTCAACCATAGCAGCAGATTAACTGTTCAAAATTTTTCTGGATTGTAAATGAAGTTCAAAGCCTGATGATCAGTAACTATATGAAACTTAGTACCAAAGAGATACTTGTGCAAGCGTCTTATTGCCCATACAACTGCTGGAGCCTCTTTCTGGGTTTGTGAGTACCCTTGTTCTCTCTTACTTAGACGTCGTAAAATACAAATAACAGGCTGTCTATTTTGCTCAGGTACTGCAGCTATACCTATAGGAGAAGCATCTGTAATGAGAAAAGACTTATCAATCGATGCAAAAGTTCTTAAGAAAGCTTGTCTATTATGAAACTCCAAAGTTTTACGCAAGATATCCTCATGTTGTTGTTTCCATTTAAATTGTGTACTGGAGACAATATCGAAAAGTGGCGATAACAGTTGAGTGGAATTAAGAATGAATCTGGAGTAAAACTGAAGAGTACTAATTCAAGACCTCAATATAATATTATTAGGTGGAAGTGCTTGAATTAGAGGTGCCAAACGACTAGCACCAGTTCTGAAACCCTCGGAGTCTACTGTGTATCCTAAGCATGATTCGGACGACAAAGTAAAATGACATTTAGATGGATTAACAGGGGTATTTTTCTCACAGAAACGCCTGAACTGTTTTAAAAGACGTTCATTATGCAATTCGGTGTTCGGGCCATGAACTATAATGTCGTCGTGGTAAGACTCAACGCCATCTAATCCAGCATCAAAAATTAGATCCGGATTTTCAACTCCAGTGTGAAGTCAGTGCTGCTATATGGATCAGAGACTTGGCGCGTCATAAAGAGCATCTCAAACAAACTACAAACCTTCATTAACAGTTGTCTTCGCTCAATACTCAAGATCAGATGGCCGGCCAGAAAAGATCAGCAACAGGGATCTCTGGCAATGAGCGAACCAACCAGGAACCGATTGTGCAACAAATAGGCAGGAAGAAATGGAGATGGATTGGCTGGCCATACTCTGAGGAAACCATCAAGTGACATCACTAGACAAGCCCTTGAGTGGAACCCGAAAGGGAAGCGGCGAGTTGGTCGTCAGTGAAAGGGTGACTTGGAGGAGGTCACGTGAAGAGGAGATGAAAACGTGTGGGCAGACTTGGAGACGCACGGCTGAAGCCCTATGTTCCTCTAGGAATTAAAGGAAACAATAATAATATAATAATTTGTAATTCATGTAATAAATATATTGACAAACAACAGTAAGTATTTCAACAATACAGTGATACAAATTTTCAACCACCACATAACCTTTGTTCTTATCACACGTGTATATAAACGACTCCTTTTTCCACAGTAAAATTACATTTGTACAGCTTGAAAATCAAATCATTCGAAAGAAATATCCATTCGCTGAAGAAAACCACGTTTCTGATAGGCAGTGAACAAATGAATATAATGTGTGATTTAAAGAGCAACAATAATTCCCCACATATTATGCATATGTAACTGCAGAATTTGATACGGAAGTTATCTAAAAGTGTATTCTTCTTGCATTCACCAGTTTTTAGAAATATGTAAAGAGCATCCTTTATTTATACATGTTAGCTAAATTGTTCGAATACAGAAGTCAGGAAATCTGTCCCAACAGAATGAAGCGAAGCGCCTAGATCGGAGGCCCTGCTTTTCATATTTATTGTAATTCAGCACCAGAATTTGTTCCATCAGGGACACTGACCAAAATACATAGTCCAAGGCGTAACTTAGCCTCTCAGGACAACTGTGCCATAATCTTTATGACTAAAGACCAGCAAAATATCACAGTGAGAAGTCAAATGCTGGCCACAGAGACCTCTTCACTATAGGAGCTTAGACTGAGGAGAAAATGCTTTATTCACAAGAGAAGCATATGACAAACTACAGAAGTTATTATAGAGAAAATAGTTGCGTGAAAAAATCGGTTGGATGACATTACTTTCACATAAATGAATAAAATAGTGGTTGTTTGCAGCAGCTTTAGCTTAATGTTCTGCAGAGACACAATAATTATGCTTTGTGTATCAGGAGAATTGGATAGAATGTTGTTGAACCTGTGTCATGTTTATGGGCGGCAATCTTAATTGTGTGCGTCTCTTTTTTTTCTCACTGATGGTTTATGACTCCTCATTCTTGTTGGCTGTTAAAGTATGTTCGAATTGATTAAATCATCTTATAAATTAAAGGATCGTGTAACGGAAAAGCTTAAGACACTTGGTGCATTTATTGATGATGAACTACCTGATTACATCATGGTTATGGTTGCAAATCAGAAGAATGAAAGTAGTATGGCTAAGGACTTACAGCTATTCTTAGGAGAACACACAAAAAAGTTCACTGAGTGGTAAGAAATGCTATGATTGTATCTATTCTCTAGGTTGCATAATATGCTAGAGAATATGAAGAGCTCTGGTCGTGGTAAGCAATAGCATTACCTTCAATTTATTTTTCTCAAGATTCGAGTGACAGTCGCAAAGAAAGTGAAACCACACGGTCATCACGACAAAAGTCTGGAAGACGTAAGACTGCAAGACCTCATTCTCCTGACTCCCACGATGACTCACCTTCAAAGTCATTAAACCGCTCAAGATCGAGATCACCTTTAGAACGGGTTAAGCGTAGGAAATATTCGAGTAGTTCTCGTGAACCTCACGGAGATTCAGATGTTGTCAGTACAAAAGTTCCTGATGGTAAGGCCTACTTTATTAATTAGATTAAGACTTAGACTTACGTAAATCTGAGGACAATAATGGGTATCACGTCAAAGAGGTAAATGTTTTTCCTGTCATGCACTTATCATTTAGGAACGCAAAGTTATGTCGACATCCTCACTCTCCAGAAAACCAAATCATGAAAATGAGAAAGTCGCATCACACCTTCCTGATGAAATCAGCCTTAAATCGGTTGTTGAAGTGAAGAACTCAGACAGCCATAAAGTGAGTATCCAACTGACTTCACTCTCTTGGATTTCGTTTTGTGGTGCTTACAACCTCACATTTGGTCATAAGAGAATGTCTAGGGAATTTTCTTATTTTTACTAGTAGACAATTGGTTGTATTAGTATAACGAATCAGTGTGAAGTTGACATATTTGCTCATGTACTTTGTTGCAATCAATAAGTCAGAATCTGTTAAGACCTAGTAAGCTCATCTGGTTAACTGAAACTCGAAAGGTGTACTTGGAACAAAATATCTGTGACACTGTTGGATTTTCTCTTTCTTCGTGTATATGTGATATTAAATACCTACTGTATCACTAAATGTCTGAAAATATTTTTGCCCTCTTCCTTGATTCCTGTTTCATACCCTGAAACGCCGATTTTTTCTGGGGGTAAATTAGTCATTTATGGTATTTTATAACCTCGCACATTTGCAGTAGACTACATATTATTTATCAAAGTGGTTAATCATATAGGGGGGTTCGGATATGTAACTCATTAGTCATATTTAGAGCATCTAGTTCAATTATCCTCTGTTATCATTTTGTCAGGTTCCATATTTTTCGTTGTTGTTAGTTATGAACTTAAAATGTAGTGTGTCCGCATGTATGTAGGCTGATGTACGCCAAATGCACAAAGCTAAGTAAAACAATGTAAGTAATTACCTCTGGTTGCAACCAAATTAAATCTAAGGTTAGAAAACAAGAGGCATCAAATAATAACCCCTCCCTACCTACTATGGTATGCGGAAGAGTTGAAGTAACACTGCATGAAAAACTTTTGGGTGACTTTATTGCACCTTTAGATAAGAGTAGAGGATATTCAAGTGAAAACCAAATGTAAATGCAAGTACATCACTGCAGTCGATTTCAGTTGTCTCGTGGACCGTAACGACAAAAATAACAGTGTCACTAATTAACAATGTTTTCACCTTAATTATGTGTTGATTCGTGCTATTCTGTGTATACAATGCTGAAGGTTTGTTCCATGGACACTAGCTTTCAACTTATCATTTTATTTTACTCCGTTCCTTTTGTTTGCATACGATCCTGCTGCTGTTCTCATTTTCCTTCCTTATTTTGTGAAATACGACAATTTTACTAATGTACTTTCGTATATTTATTTATTTTTATTTATTTATTTAAACGCATTAAAACTTGGTACAATATGGCACCAAGAAGGATGCGCCACACAATAATAATAAAACAACATAGATGAAAAAAAAGGAAGACAGGAAAAGAAAAAATATATATAAGTAGAGAACGAATAATGAACTTCATCTGGAAGGAAAACACTCATTCTTAACAGGTTCAAACAGTGTTCGTTAACTATCATCGGGAATGGAAGAAAGAAGGAAATCGCAACACATTCGCCATTGATTACGATTCTTGGCCATATCCGATAACGTTTCGAGCCATCGATTTGAGCTATCTCTCAGACCCCAACCAGGGAGTCGTGACACACCAACCGATGCTAATCTAGCACAAATATCCTTCATCCCACGACGCCACGTCATGGACTGACCACCTCTCCGCCTTTTCCAACCCGTCCCAGGGCTAGCGAACAGAGACCTGTACGGAAGCCTCTGGGGTGACATTCGCAGCACATGTCCAAGCCACCGGAGCCGGTGTTTCCAGATGACGACATTCAATGAATGGTTATCTCCACTGTGTTCAAACACACGCCGCCGAACCTCAGAATTACTCACGCGATGATGCCATCGAACGCAAGCAATCCTGCGGAGACAGCGGTGATCGAACACGCAGAGTCGCCGCACATCCTCAGCTCGGAGAGGCCAGGTTTCACAGGCGTAGAGCAGCGCAGCCCGCACCGAAGCATTGTATACCCGACCTTTGACAGCCAGGCTAACGTCGCGACGGCGCCAGAGGTGGCTCAAGTTGATGTATGCCACCCTAGCTTTCATTATACGGTTGGAAATCTCATCCGTCACCCCTCCGCCAGCACTCACACAACTACCTAGGTACACAAACTTATCGACAACTTCAAGCGGTTCACCCGCAAGAGTGAGTGCAGGTACAGGCTCCTGCCAATCTTGTAACAGTACTTTGCACTTAGACGGCGCAAAGCACATACCATACTTACAGACACTGATCGCCAACTGATTGAGTGCGATTTGGGCAGCCTGCATGCTATCGCACAGTAAGACGATATCGTCTGCATACTCGAGGTCGAAAAGTCTATCTCCAGGTAGCAGATCTACACCACCTTCACGCACATCCTTCAGAGCTGACTCCAGAATGTCATCGATGGCAAAGTTAAAGAGAAATGGTGAGATTGGGCAACCCTGTCTAACCCCACTGTTGGTTGGGAACAGTGGTGATAGTTGGTTGTATGCCCTCACTCTACCTGAGGTGTTTCTGTATAGGGCTTTCAAGATGTTAACAAATTTCTCAGGTACACCTCTCTCTAACAGACAGTTCCAGAGCACAGTTCTGTCCAACGAATCGAAGGCAGCCCTAATATCAAGAAACACAACGATCGTTGGCCTGCAATACGTGTGGCGGTGTTCCAACAACTGACGAAGGGTGAACACATGATCAATGCATCCACGACCTGAACGAAACCCAGCCTGCTCTTCGCGAATCAATCCTTCGCGTATTTTGCACAGTCTGCGAAGCATGACAGCAGCCAATATTTTAGACGCAACTGGTAACAGACTGATACCCCTATGGTTGTCACAGGAATTACGTCGACCCTTTTTAAAGATGGGGACGATAATGGCTTCGTTCCACATTGATGGTACGCTCTCTGTCTCCCACACCCTCCTGAACAACCCAGTTAGAGCCATTATGAGAGTCTCGCCACCATCTTTAAAAAGAGCCGGGGGTAATTTGTCTGGGCCGGGCGCCTTATGGCGTTTCAGAACTTGGAGTTCCTTACGGACCTCCGCTTCGGTGGGTGGGTCGGTACTAACCGACCAAGGAGCACTCGGGCTAATGATAGTAGACAATGAAGCTGGTGGCCAGCTGAACTGCTTCCCGAAGTGCTCTGCCCAGCGTTCCAGGCGTCTCTTCAGGCTGGTAATTGGAGTGCCATCTGCCTCACAGACCGTCTCGCTGACACCTTGTTTCTTGCTGCCGGTGGCTCGTATGAGTTGGAACAGCTTCCGACTGTTGCCAGATGCAGCAGCTGACTCCATCTCATACGCACGTTCTGACCACCAGGCTTCGCGGTCCTTACGTAAACACTGTCTAATCTTGCGCGTGAGCGCCTTTCGCTGATTGTTGTATTCACTGCCAGCCGGAATGGACCGGCGTTCATCCATGAGTTGCAAGGAACTCGCAGAAACCCAGTGGTTGTTAGCGGAGCATTCTTTCAAGCCGCAAGCGGCTACACTCGCCTTTTGCATGGCACCTTGCACATGAAGCCAGTGTTCATCTATACTACTTGGGGGGTTGCTGGCAAGCATTGTTTTCAACTCGTTCTGATATTTCAAAGAAGTAGCAGGTGCTACTAGTTTGCTCACATCAACGCTTAGACGACGGTTTTTACGAACCCCACCAAATCGCAAGACGAACTTGGCACACACTAACGCATGATCGGAGTCCAGGCATGTGCTCCAGAAGGAGCGACAGTCTTGTATGCATCCTCGCCACCGGAAACTGACCGCAATATGGTCAATCTGAGTCCAAGCTTGCTTCGCAGAGGGAGGACGCCAGGTAGCGCTACGGCGATGGCTGTGCCGGAAGTTGGTGCTGGCTAGAAATAGGTTGTGATCCGCGCAAAGCTGCAGAAGACGGTCCCCATTATCTGACCTGCGACCATGTAGTCCCGACTGACCACCTAGACGACTCTCCTCTGAGCTTAGACGCCCGACCTGTGCGTTCAAGTCCCCAGCTAGCACTACGATATCCCTCCGACCCGCCTGTTTCAACAGATCGCTCAGTTGGTAGTAAAACTCATCCTTCATTGCATCCGGGCTGCAATCCGTCGGTGCATAGGCAGAGACAACAAATAGACACCGCCTATCTGGCCTACTACTCCTTACTTTCGTATAACCTTCCAGCCTCACAGCACATAAACGACTGTTAATGGGAATCCAGTCGAGCAGTGCAGCTTCGGCTCTAGCGCTCAGTGCGACACCGACACCAGCTACGCCGGATGCTGATGCCACAGGGTCCCCGGATAAGCGCAGGTGGTACATACTACTAGAACTTCCAGATGGAGAGGACAGTCGAAGCACTTCACTGGGATCTTGAATGCGGGTCTCCGAAATGCAGCAGACATCGATAGCGAGGCTTTCCAAAGTTCTTGCCAACCCTGCCTGTTGTCCGATTTGCATCAGCGTCCGAACATTGTAGGTAGCCAGCTTGAACGCAGCACGCGGTTTCAGGATATCTGTGTTAGAAGTCACATTGGGGACAGCCATTTTGAGGACTACTCACTAACATCTCGAAACGACACAGATAGGCTAGGAATCCAAACAAAGGCGAAAGGCTGTCGAAGGTTAAGAAGTCAAGGTTAGGAAAGGTAAAATACAGGAAACTAAGTATAAAAATAAAAGTAAGGTTGGAAAGAGATATATCAACTGGGACATCATTATTGCTTGAGAGCATTGTTAAGAGCGCGCGATGAGTTTCACTGATTGTTCGTTGCTTCATTTAATTAATAATTAATTAAAACTTTCGTATAAGTGAAGCTTTAATGGATGAAGTTGAGTGAAGGTGACTGTAGCCTTTCAGAATCCGCGAGGTGATGTTAAGTGAGTACGTCTGCATCATTATTATCATAAATAGTTTCCAACCACTAGTTTTAGACATCTCGAGGACCCCATCCAGGCAACCTACACTTTATCACGTGTCTTAGACTAACAGTCAAAGATTTCAGTGGGTTGGTGCTACGTTTTAGTATGGTCAACCTCTACCTACGCATCTTAAAAGATTAAATGGTGCTGACTGGGGTGTTTTACACTTTTAAATGTGAGTTTGTTCTTCTGTACTACTGAAAATTACGCTAAATGTAGGTGGTATGAAAAAGCTTCAAATAGTTGGTCGTTGTTTCCTTCGTTAAACTAGACACATTTGATGGGACTTTTAGTGTAGAATCTTAGGTAACGGTCACTTGGTAAAATTATATATTCTTGTCTTTTGTAGTGATTAGATCGTTTGAAATTGATGAGCGTCGATACCAGAGCAAAATCGTAAGGTCATATCTACTCTAAGAAAATTCCTATTCGCTAACATTATCTGGCATTCTTCTCACAAAAGCGAAAAGAGCAGCGTGAAAGTCCGCTATAGCTAGTCAGTTCTAGTGCTTAACGCATAATTAGGTTATGTTTATGCTCAGTGAAGCAATAAGTAATGTATTAAGATTAAACACTCAACCATATATTACAGGTTCTACCTGATAAAACTTCAGCAGTCGAGAATATTTCTTGACCCCATCGTATGTGTGTCTGAAAGCCTAATATGAAAACGTGGAAATCATTGCTGAGTTGTGTTGTCTTACACGTCTGCTTTATTTGTCTCTTTAGTGTCAGTTTATTTAGAATATATATATATATATATATATATATAATATATAATCACAAACTTTCGTACTAAATCTTTCTTTTCTATATCAGCAAACTAAAAAACGATTGGAATATCCCCAGCCTTCAAGCTTGTTGCTAAAACGAGCTGTGAATGAAGCTAAAGAAAGTACGCTGACAAGCGAATCTATCCCAACAAAACGCAAACCGATCTCTCGACCAGTGGCGTGGTTAGTTTTAAGTCTTATTATGTTTATCTTTTGAATATTTGTGTATTTTTTGTATATTTTTTAAATTTTATGTGCAACGCAATCACGTAGTCTAATAATTCAAATCGAACTAGATTTTTTTGTATCAGAATTTTATGTCCACTGTAAGTACTTGGTAAAATGAAATTAAGCATTGTATATTGGGCAAATAATCTTAACAAACCTGTTATGGTCTTATCTCCGTGACGGTATCATCACAGATTGTACCAGCCCGAACCACTGACAATTGGAGTTTGAGGAAGGAAACAATCAACTGCTTTATTAGGAGTTTGAAGGCGCAATGTAACATGACCGTAGATCACAAGTGTTACAGTACCAAAATAATATAGGATTAGAAAAATAGTTGCGTAATATGTAGAATAGTTTTTCATGAAGACAGGTAGGTGTGAACGGGATGTATGTCGAAACATTGAAATAATAGTTTTTATAACTGAAGATGAAGTAGTATAAAGGGAATGAAAAATAAACAACTAGGGAACCCTACAGGATTAGATCTATGGTACATGTAGACGTTGGACTAGTTTTTTAGAACACATGGTTTTAGCTTCTCATTGCATATGACGACGGCTTCTGAAGTTCGAAGTCGAAAACACACTGTCTTTGGTAGATTCCTGTTTACTTTGTAAATGACTCTGAATGGTGAGTCCATTGAGATGTTGTGACAGGTGCTGACGAGATATTCAGTTATAGCTCTTCTGATTGAACTAGTGCCGCCGCTTTGCAGTCATGATGAGTAGTGTTTTCTGAATTTTTGAAACGACGCTCATAGAACGACCTAACACTACAGGACCAAGTGAACAGGTATATGCACGCTGAATTGGTCATTTGTAGTGAGATGAGAACTCTTTTACAATTCATAGGTGTCCAACTGTAAAAGTTTGCTAGTTGGCCATTCCATAAGGGTTTTAGACTTTTTAGAGTTTTATCATCTCTTCGTGTCAGTTCTACAGTCAGAAATAGAATCTTTGATTCATTTTTGCTCCCAGTGTGAATTTAGCTGAGGGATGACAATTATTAGATCTTTGTAAAGCACAATTTAAGTCATAATCGTTATGACCATTATAAAAGTGTCGTCAACATGCCTTTTATACAGCAGTAATTTGTCGATTGTTGATTTTAAGATTCCGCTTTCCAAAGCAGTCTGCTAAAAGTGGGCCAAAAGGAGAGTCCTCGACAATTTCATCTTTTCACCTGTAGATATCTTTGTTGAAGGTGAATTGAATATTGAGTGTACATATCAGTAACAACTACTTTAGATATAAAGTTGATACCCGAATGCTCAGGCTCGTGTCATCCATATATTTGTAGGCGAAACATTGCTTCTGTGGGCAGCACGTTTGTAAATAGAAACTCTACGTCTAGTGATAACATACGGTCGCCAATTACATTCAAATTTTTTAATACAATTTATGAATTCGAAAGTATCTCGATGAGTGTACTTACAAAATTGTCTCCTAACAGGATCTGACATTTCGGAAAGTTGTTTAACACCTGAGTGGTAGGATGATCCCGAAATATCCACAGTTGGTTAAAGTTGTAGACAAGGTTTGTGTACTTTAAGTAGACTTTAAGCTATCGGCAAACGATTGATCCTATCGTCTTAAGCTTTCACAAAAACGTCTTCACTTGTCAGGCAGTCGTTTATTTTCATTTTTCTTAGAACATCTGTCAGTGTTGCTGTTCAATCAGTTAAGTCTTATTTTTCTCGTTATTTAACAAAGTTAGTTGTTGTCAGAAATCAGAGTTGATATTTCGTCGATATATGCTTGTGTAGCCTTAAGAATCATACCCGAACCTTTGTCCAGACATGTAATCACAATAGTCCTTATCGTGTCTTAGGTCTTTGACATGCTGTTTGCGTTTATTTGTTTGAAGGTGGTGGTGAGACATCGGTCACAGCGGTCAAAGACTGTTGACTTGCAATGTGGGAATTGTGTGCCGGAAACTGAGATAACATTGTTTGTTTGACTGATTAGATTCTCGAATAGGGAATGTGTGTTGTCCGTTGGGTATTTAAATTTATGTCACAAAATTTCAGTCCCAAAGACTTTGATAAAGTGATTGAAGAGTGATCGAATACAATTTTGTTGTAATCACTGAGAAACTTCTTCTGAACTTCGACTGGTTGAAGGCTTTTCTTCATGTTTGACTGGAAACTCTTGGCTCATTTATCCTTCGTGAGGGTAATATTTCCACTCAACAGTCGTCTCACGTGATTATAACCAGCAAAAAGCAGGAGAAATCTGTGGTACGTTTTCCTGTAGCTCAATTGCTTGTGAACTGATATAATCAATAAGGTTTCTAGCATGGAACTGAAGAGTTTTCGAGGTGGTATATATACATGTATGTTCTGCCTACGGAGTACTTTCCGAAACTATTTCGGATATTCATGATTCTTACTCCAGTCTCCCAGAAAATCCAAGCTTTGAAGTTTCAGTAGCGGTGGTGTTGTTTCAACATTATCCAAAAGGCAGTATCGATTTGGAAAGTGTACGGAACACATTTCAATTAAATCTGGTTAATGTTTATTCAAACGCTACCCCCAACTAAAGAAGGGTATTAATGATTTATTGATCATTGTTATAAGCTTGGATTCATCTACTGGTTAATTTTATCTGTTAATATCAAAATTATATGTTTATAATGTTTATTATTGTCCGTATTTATGAATATTTTTCGAAAATGTTAATTCATTTTTAAAATTTTATATATGTGTTACACATTGCTGTGTTTCTTACTGTACATTAAGCTTTAACATCTTGGTGATATACATTTTTGTGTGTGTGTCATAGTATGAAGTTACTGTTTGCACAGCGGGCGACGTTCAGTCTGAAACAGCTTCATAGATTACTCACGGAAAATACCCATCCACACATGAATATAAGAACAAAAAAGTTCAGCGAAGAGTCTCTTTTCGGCGAATTCATTCACTAAGCTGTACAATCGCATTTATATATAATAATTATTTTGTGTGTGTGTGTACATTAGGATTGTCAAACAAAATTAAAAATAAGTTAGGTTTATTGTTTGTGTCATCAATGTATTTCCAAAATGTGATCAATAATCAAAATTGTAACTAGGGTGGGTGGGTGGAGGTGAAGATTGGTTAGTTTTGACAAGGGTTGTGTAATATGAAATAGGATGTTAATGAAAGAGCATGGAGAAAAGTGTCGCAAATACTTTATGTAGTAGGTAGAAAGAGTAAATAGAGGGTTGGCTGAGAAAAAGATCTTACTAAGAAGTCATAAAAATATTCGAAAAAAGCATCACTTACAAAGTAGTAGGACTTGAAATTATACCCAAGGTAGAAGGAGGGAATGGAGAAGTTTCTTCTGTACACATAAATCAGGTTATTTTTATCCGAATCGGTAAGGCCTCGGCAATGCAAAGTATACGAAAGCATACCATTTTCGGGAAGTTTCTTTTGACTTTGTAGATGACTGAATGAGTTCTCCTTACATATTGAGTGACCAGTGTTGAATATATTTTCAATTATAGCACTCCTTATGATCCACTGTTACCTTTTCGTAGCCAAGTGGGATAATGCTCTTTGACTCTTTTAGACAAAACACGCATCGAACGACCCATATATCTCGCTCCACATGAGCAAGTAAATTGGTAGATACACATAGAAGTTGTTGAAGAACAATGGGCGGCTTGAGAATACCAATCGTAATGTAGCAGCAGAGAATGTTCTTTTCAGGGCGTTAGATGTTTGTTTTTTTGAATTTTTGTATGACATCTTAGTAACATCTTAACTAGTCCTTTACTTTCTCTTTCTACCTATTGCATAATTTATTTCGGACACATGTCTCCATTAACATCTATCTCATATTACACAACCCTTATCAAAACTAACCAGTCTTCACCTCCACCCACCCACCCTAGTTACAATTTTGATTATTGATCACATTTTTGAAATACTTTGATGACACAAACAATAAACCTAAGTTATTTTTAATTTTGAATGTACACACACACACACGGACATAAATAATTATATATAAATGCGAATGTACAGCTTAGTTTAATTGAATTCGCCGAAATGAAACTCTTCGCTGAACCTTTTTGTTTTCATAGATTTTTATCGTGGAAATATGGTTCATTAGTTTAAGAGCTTGGTTCGCAACCAATTGGGTCACAGGTTTAAGCATCTTCCCACCTTTATATCAGCTTGAGCAACCAGATAGTATTGTAACAACAGAACACAAGGGCCAGGCAACAGATCGTTTATTAAAGAAAATCAACACATATTTATAGATTTTAATGTACATTATTGTAGATTATTGTTAGTAGAAAATACAGTCTTTTGATTGGTTGTTTCTCACAGAAAGTTAACCTTGCATCTCTTTGTGGCTGTGTCAGATCATCCATATGCTAACTGTATCCGCCTACGCAAAGCCTTTGTTCTCATTTTCTCACCACCGATATTGGGGACATAAACATTGACGTCAATTACTATCTACTAACTTTGGCTAGCAGCCAGCTCTCACCACAGTATCATGCGCCTTCACAATAATAAGTATGGCTATGAGCTTAGTACATGAAAGAGTTCGAACAACAATCACAGATTCTTAGCATTCTTAAGTTTATTAAAATTTAAACTCAAGTTAATACATAGCATAATTGAGTAGTTGAATCCCAGCATTAATTCTAAGTTCTCTGGGAAAGAAGTCGGCATGTTGAATGATGACTGGAGGAATGTGAACATTTTCTTATTCACAGTCCCCTCAATGAACGTTTAGACTCTTTTATATCAATGTTCTACACTTCTAGTTAGTGTTTTTAGAGAAAAAGCACAACGATCAAGTGTATCAACTATTTGGTTGGTTGACTGTGGTCATGTGTCTGTTAAAACTTTTTAAAAAGTGTCATAATTTTTCGTGACTATTGTATGACTTTACTTCCTATTGTGGCCATCACTTATTCTTCTTTTATTTTCTTTCTCCTCAAAAATAGTTCTGATGTATCCTCATCTTCACAGCCTGATTCTACAAGATTTTTCATCACTCTTTCGGGTACTGAATCTAATCCAGTAGAAACAACTACTTCCGCTAATCGACGTAACACTTCCAAACTTGGTCGTTTACAGAGGGTTGAGTATTCATCATCAGGTGATATTGATGCATTGGACAATAGAAAAATACGACTTAGTTCACGTCTAGTCAATTCTTCATCTATTCGTCGTGATGGTAGAATAAGCGCTAAACAACGTCTTGGTCCAGTTATTCAACCACCTAGGCGTACTCGAATAACCAGTATCTCTCGAAATGAAGAAAAAATTATTTATAATTCCGGCAATGATATCGATGATTACCTTGATGGGGATTATGTTGAACTTGCCTGTGATGATGTTGATGATAATGCATTTGTAGATGATATAGTCGATGAAAGAAATTTTATATCTCATCATAAAATGACTCTAAGTGAGAGATTAAGTCAAAAAAACCCACCCTTGGTAGTTAATTTAAATGAAACAGACGAAGATGAAGATATTGCCAATCATCATGTCAGTGAGAAAGGACGACCTAAAAAGATTGTTTTAGAGAAATGTAAAGAAAAAACTCAGAATGCAACAGATTCAACTACAGAAGCTGGAGATCAACCAAACATCCCAAGGTTAGCACTTTTTACTGTCTTATTTTAATGCGATATATATGTATATACATATTATAGCTTGGTTCCACACAGTGTTTTGGTACAGCTATGGAATTTTCAGCATGTGATATCCGTAGCTTAAATTCAGCAGGCCGTGACCATTGATATCAGGTGTGCGTCGGTCGGGGATCGAACCCCAGACCATGTGCATGGTCAGCGAGCGTTCTAACCGCTGTGCCACCGACGCACAGAGTTCCTCTTCACAAAACTAATTAGTGAACAAAGAATATTCTTATTGACAAGACTTTATAAAGTTCTACAACTATCATAATAATGAATGAATAATCGTTGTTATTGACAGCATTAGTATGTTTCAATAGCACTGGGTCATTCAGATCAATGGATTACAGTTCAAAATATGTGTTAATGTGTGAGATAATATTCATGAGTATAACACTACATTGAATAACAGGTAAATTTGGAAAGACAACATAGCATTTATCAATTTTATGAATTTATAGATTCTACAGCAGACCAGGGTAGCGATATTGACTGAATCTGTTTCTTTTGTAGACGCAGGGTTCCGGTTGTGTTTTAAGCGGATTACTTTAGCTTTTACATTTTGGAGTATTCGGTACTTCAGGGGAGCCTTTGGTAATTTATGCGGTACACAATAGATAATAAAAAAGAGATTCTTCAATACTGACCCTGTGGCCTGTTTGAACTTCGTGCACCGATATTTCATTATTAATGATTTTTGCCACATTTTTATTTACAAGTATTGGTTTTGTAGAGATTTTTTTGTTTGATTGGTTGGAGGATTTCATCATCGCATCGGTGGTTCGACGGTAAGATACTGTCTAACCACGGGTTCGATTTCCGGTCGATGCACTCCTTAACCTCCGTTAGCTGGTAATAAGCTTGGTGAAGAGAGGAGTTTGGATGTGAGGCTAGCAACCCCACCCCGTAGGGAATACCTTTTCTGTTGAGACTTCAAAGCTCAAGCTTGAAGTCCTATGCTCCACTCGGAACGCAAAGGAATAAAATAGAAATAATTAAATCTATCTACCCATCGTCTACCCTTCTCATCGTATTCCCTTTCATGGATTTTTGCTAATTCTTTTCACTTTTACTCTGTAACTACTGCTAATGAGTATTACTGATAATAGTGGTTATGGCTCACTGTGTGCGTCGGTGGCACAGCGATATAGCGCTCGCCGACCACGCCTCATGTGGTCCGGGGTTTGAGTCCTGGCCGACGCACTCCTTTACCTAGCTAAGCCAGTAGTAAGACTGGTAAAGAGGGGAGGTTGAGCATGAGGCTTGCAACCCCATCCTGTAAAAATAATCACCACTGCTACAGAAACTTAAAGCCTCTAGCCTGAAGCCCTCTATGTTCCACTGGGAACGTAAAGGAATAAAAAAATGCGATATTGTTAAACGTGGTGCTAGATTAGTGACTAGCAATAACACTCTGTGAACACACTCCATTCAACTAACCTCAAAAAATGACATCAGTTTGATCAAAAATGGTTGCTACAACTTAATAAGAACGAAACCACATTATAGTTGTTTATGTACATTTCAGATGATCCTGGGGTAGCCGAAAAATAGAATGGTATACTAAAAACATGGAGAAAAAAAAACAATCAGAGTTCCATCTGGTCGAGGAAGATGGTTAGTCATCCCTGTGTTTAGGATGAATGGTTGACTTTACCGTAATAACTACGTGATTCAACTAGAGTAATATTATGTTTAAGATTCTAGAGTTTATAATCATATAGAAAGCAAGTAAACTTTGAACAAAACTCCAGAAAAGTGTGTTATGCTAGTCAAGACAGTTTGATCAAATTCATACGACCTTACTATGGTTTGAGGTCTGAAGTGACGAAAAGCAGAAGTGTACTAGATTTTCAATCGATGGGTCACTGGTTAGAATATCGCTCCAACTACTTCAGCCTGGGTAACTAACTGGGTAGTAATCACCAGCCCTCATATGATAACTGTGGCTCTTAGCCTCCTAGATGATGAATCTGGTTCGGATAATTGATCTTCAACAACTCTTTCCACTGCTGGTATGATATGAAACTATGGAGTAATTAGTCTTGAAATCACATAGTTTTTTTTGGGGGGGGGTAGAAAGGGAATTCAGTCTTCATTTCATAATGCTGAGAATTCCACACAGTATCATAAATACTGTTTTAGAATAAAGCAAGTTATTATTATTATTATTAAAGTTTTGTACTGCTGTGAAAGATTTAGGTAGGTGTGGGGATTCCTTGGTTAGAGTTATTCTCTCTGGACAAAATATTATGCAAGGAAGTGACTCATGAGATTGGTCAAAAAACTAGTGTCCAAAAACTACTTACTTACTATCACCATCCACCTTTTATCTTTAAAAAAAAAGAATACTACAAGTTTCTCTACTACGTTGGAAGCAACACTTAATTTATGAAAGCTAATCATACTGAGTTTGCAAAGAATTCGATTTGTTACAGGATTTTCATCATGAGCTGACATTAGTTAGAGAACCATTGGAAAACCTGGGGTCGCGCTATGTCGTGAATTGGCAGAAGTTAGAATTCATGGGCCATTGGATCGGGTTCCAGTGGCTTAATGGTATATGAGCTCGCCTTGTAACCAGAAGGTCCTAGGTTCTAATCCCTGTGGGTGCGTACTGTTGAAGAGTCCCAAACTAGGACGGAACAGCTGTCCAGTACTCCCAGGTTTTCCAGTGGTTCTCTAACTATTGTCAGCTCATGATGAAAATCCTGCAACCAATCAACCAAATCCCTACAAACCAACACTTGAATTAGATTTGTACTTGAAACTTTTAGCTATAAAGTTGATTACTTAAACGTAGGAATCACAACTTCTCACTCTATGATTCTTAGTTGACGTCTCCCACTTACGATTTACAAATTCGTGTACTGAACTTTAAAGGATGCCTACTGTATGAGAGTTAGGCTGTGTGTAGAATTCAAACACTTGACACTACTCAGCCATTTTTCTAAGGTTATTCACAGTTTTATAAATTGGACTTACCCTCATGCACACATCATTTGGCGCATCAGGTCAGCAAAGGGTCACTTAACTGTACAGCTGCAATTATATATAATTCTTTTTTGTATTTATATGTGTACATTAGGTTCAACAAACAAGAATAAAAATTAGTTAGGGTTATTGTCTACATCATCAAAATGTTTCAGCATATGTGATGAATAATCAAATTTTAACTAGATGGGGGGATGAGGATTAGTAAATTTTCACTAGGATTACGTGATATATGAAAGACGTCCAGAAAAATAAGGTGTTAATGAGAAAGAGCATGGCGACAAGTGTCCAAAATAAACTATGTAGTAGGTAGAAAAAGTAAATAGAGGGTTATTTAAGAAGAAAATGGTACCAAACTGTCTTACAAAAAATGCACAAAAAAGTATTAATAACAAAATAGAAAATATCCCCATTTAGACATTTGGAAAACAGAAAGATTGAGCAAAGAAATATTTACTTTTCAATTAGATCCTCATCTCTGGCTCTACTCTAATATATATGTAGCATTTTTATTACAATACACAACAATTTACCAAACAAGTGGTGATATGTTTGTTAACAATAATTAAACAGTGTCAAAATGTCAATGGGTTGATAATTAACGAAGAAAATCAATACAAATTTAAAAGGTAGAAATGGATAGAATAAATTAATTTTACAAGGATAACACGTAATTAAAGATGAAGTGGTCAAAAAAAATAAAATAATTTGGACAATTATAATTTAATAGGTTTAGGGGGAGGGGGGCGACGTAGTCCTGTCTTGTAACGATGGCCACAGTAAGGAAAGTGGCTGTACAAATTTCTTCTGAACACATAGGCTTGGCTTCTTCAGGTGGATTCCTATTGCTTCAGCTGTCTGTAGAAGACGAACTCGTAGAGCAAAGTTAAGATTAGTCGGAATGCGATAAATAATTTTAAATGCAGTATTCACATCAACCTTATGCTCAGTTTCAACAAGGTGTGCTAAAATAGAACTACGAATAGATCTTGTTTGTCCCTTGCTTAACCATGTTGGATGATGTTCGGAAATACTATGATGAACCTGCCTAATTGTACGCCCAATGTAGCTGGCTCCGTAGCTGCAGTCAAACTGGTAGACACACATAGAAGAGGCAAAATTAGGTAGTTTATCCTTATTTCTCGAACATAGAATATGGGTGGTTTTGAAGAGACAACGTACTTCTGCTGCATAATAAGCTCTTTTAACTGCATTCTTCAAGCGCTGTGTTATGATTTCGCTGATGTTGTCACTGAGGAACTGCAATTTTATGAACATTGGCTTTTTCGAAACTGTAGCAATACTGACTCTCCTTGGTGCTGAATTCATATTCTTCTCAATAAATTTATCTGGATAACCATTTTTTCTAAGTAATTCTTTAATAATCTTGAGCTCCTCATTGAGGCAATAGTTTGAACAGATTCTATCCATTTCTACCTTTTAAATGTGTATTGATTTTCTTCGTTAATTATCAACCCATTGACATTTTGACACTGTTTAATTATTGTTAACAAACATATCACCACTTGTTTGGTAAATTGTTGTGTATTGTAATAAAAATGCTATATATATTAGAGTAGAGCCAGAGATGAGGATCTAATTGAAAAGTAAATATTTCTTTGCTCAATTTTTCTGTTTTCCGAATAACAGAACAGGAGAACTTGGAGTTACATCCAATGTTGAGGGAGGGAATGGAGAAGTTTCTTTTGTGTGTCGATAAATCAGGACTTTCCATCCGAATCGCTAAGGCCTCGACAATGCAAATATACGAAGGTTTACCTTTTTCGGGAAGCTTCTTGTAACTTTGTAAGTGACTTTGAATGAATTCTGCCTACATATTCAGTGACCAGTAGACTCGACTGGTGGACTGGCTTCAACTTAGAACTTTGTACAGGTGTGCAGCAGTTCGATGTGCCACACTCCGTGTAGCACACAAAGCAAGAGACGAGAGTAAAAAGAGAGATTTTTTTTCCTTCACGTTCCCCAGTGGAACATAGGGCTTCAAGCTGGTGGCTTGAAGTTTCTGTGGCAGTGTTTACTTTACAGGATGGGGTTGCTAGCCTCATGCCCAACCTTTCCTCTTCACCAGCATTATTTCTGGCTTAGCGAGGTAAAGGAGGGATCGAACCCCGGACCATGTGCATGGTCGGTGAGCGTCGTAACCGCTATGCCACCGACGGATAATAATAAACAGATATATATGAGGCAAAAAGTATGGTAATATGAAAGAACAACAAAATTTTATTGGATCTGATAAATCACAAAAGGCTCCATTGAGAATGATTTTGAGCCGTTTCACCAGTGACCAGTGTTGAATATATGTTCAACTATGGCACTCCTTATCGATCCCCTATTTACCTTTCATTAGCCAAACGAGAGATGATGTTCTTTGAAAACTTAAGATTTACTATATATCATCACTGCTCAACTATTTCAATCAAAATTTCCGCTTTATCACGACACGATCATCAAATGAATTGTTGTCTTAAGTATTTACCATTTCTATCTGAATTTCTAGTTTTAACTGTGTATATTATATATGTATACCTTTCTTAACGTTTATTTCAGCTCTTTAGAACGTTGTAAATTTTGGCCTAATTGTCGAAATGGAACTTCTTGTCAGTATATTCATCCTTCAGAACCATGTCAATTATTCCCACGGTGTAAATTTGGAGCAACATGTACCTTTATTCATCCACCATGTCGTTATGGTGCAGCGTGTGCACGTCCTGACTGTCCGTTCACACATTCAGCGAAACGAGTTCTGCGTAAGTGTATCACAAATATTTATCAAATATTCTATTTTATATCCACTCCGAAAGATATTTGTTTAGCGACATATTGACCGCTTTATATCACTATTCCACAGTACTCATGTTTGTCAGTCAGTATAACAGCACCCAGTCGACAATAAATACCAAAATGCTGGTGGAATTTATCCCATCATAGAGTAATTTTATTAGATAAAAAGACACATTGTGAAACAGTATTTCTTACTTTAATTGAATTTTAGGTTTTCCCGTCGATTGATTGGACCGAAGTGCTCAGTCTCAGGTTGACATGTCGGCTTCTTGTGCAGATGCTTCGACGATGTCTGGGCATTTAATTTGTGCATGGTGACTAGCAGTGGAATCCAGGATGTGCATTTCGTCCTATTCGGGACCCGTCACCATGCACAAATTGAATTCTAATTAAATGCCCAAACATCGTCGATGCATCTGCACAAGAAGCCGACATGTCAACCTGAGACCGAGCACTTCGGTCCATCAATAGACGGGAAAATCTAAAATTCAATTAAATAATTATGACCCGTTGCACAAGAGTTGGCTCTAGTGGCCCAAGTGGTCTAGTGGATAACGCTTTGGCGTTTGAAACTATGGGCACTGCGTTCGAGCCTCGGTAGGAATATCATCACTCATTGACTGGGAAATGCAGGCACACCCAGATGACGAGTCCCAAATAGGACGAAATGCGCATCCTTGATTCCTCCGCTAGTCACCATCCACAAATTAAGTATTTCTTATATACTGATGACGTTTCAAGCACAGGATTATTATTTATTATTGTTGTTCCCTTGGGTTCCTAGTGGAACATAGGGCTTCAACTGCACGTCTGCACTTGCTTCTGTCTTCTCCTGTATTTTTCAATTGCATCCATGTTAGTCCATAGTGTTTCAGTTCCTCTTCACACGATCTCCTCCATGTCACCCTTGCACCGACGTCCCACTGGCTGCTTCCCTTTCGGGTTCCACTCGAGCGTTGGCCTGAGGAGCGATGTCACCCAGTGGCCTCCTCAGCGAGTGTCCAATCCATCTCCACTTTCTCCTGCATATTTGTTGAGCGATTGATTCTTCTTTTGTTGGTTCTTGTTCTTTCCGGCCATCTGATCTTGAGTATAGAACGAAGACAGTTGTTGATAAAGGTCTGCAACAGGCTGTTGGAAATATTCTTTGTGACCCGCCAAGTTTTTGATCCATACGTATAGAAGAACTGACTGACTTGACGTTTGTATTAAAAATCCGAATTTTGTTGTTGATGCTGAGTACAGTGACGAAGATTTCCAGATTGGTTTCAGGTTGATGAATGTGTTTCTCGCCTTCCCGATTCTCGATTTGACATCCTCGTCCGTTCCTCCTGTAGTTGAGACAATGCTCCCTAGATAAGTGGATGAAGTAACCTCTTTCAAATCCCTCCCGTTGATGGTGATTGGCGCTGGATGTTGCTGTTGTTGTTGGTTGATTATTTTGATAACCTCCGTCTTGTCTATGTTCACCTGGAGTCCTGTCTTCTCTGGCTGCTTCTTCGACCAGTTTGTCGATTTTCGCTTGTAAGTCTTCGATCTTGTGTGACATCAAGCATAAATCATCCGCGAAATCCAGGTCTTCTTGGTTCTTCACGTTGGTCCAGGATATCGCTGTCTTCTCGTTTCCCACTGTCTGACGAAGCATAATCCAGTCCACCACAATTAGGAATATCATTGGTGATAATAAGCACCCTTGTCTGACTCCTGTGTTTACTTTAAACGCCTCACTGAGTTTTCCGTTGTGATCACTTGACATGTGCCGTTGTCGTACAGCTGTTGAATAAGGTTGATGAATATTTGGGGTACGCCGTAGTACTTGAGTAGTTTCCAAATTACTTCGCGGTCAACACTGTCGAATGCTTTCTCAAAGTCTATGAAGTTGAGGTAGAGGTTTGATTGCCATTCCATGCTTTGTTCGATGATGATGCGTAGAGTTGCAATTTGGTCAGAACATGATTTGCCTTTCCTGAATCCAGCTTGTTCTGGTTGGAGTTA